TTGCTGACTCATTTCAACCTACCACAGCCGAGTGAAGCGGAGGCTGTTATGACAGCAGCATACTGTGTGAATATGATGCCAAATTCTGTGCGAGGCATGGAGATTCCGTAACCTGTCTGGTATCGTGAAACTCCTTCCTATTCGAAGTTGAGGCCTTTTGAATGTGCAGCTCTCACATACATTGACAAAGTGGAACGACGAAAGTTGGATGCCAAAGCTCGAGAGGCAATCTTTGTGGGTTATTCCAGAGAGAAACGTGGATATCGTTTCCTGGACAGTAAAACTCGCAAGGCATTTTATAGTCACACCAGAGATGAACACCAACCACCCATCGACAACCTTCACTGCCACGCATGCCTCACACTTCATTAGCGTGTAGCCCTCGCTCTCTAGGAACTTCTTCAGCAGTCTGAACCACACACGAGGAGCCTGCTTCAAGCCGTATAGGCTTTTCAGCAGAACACACACAAAATCCTCTTTTCCTTTCACTTCATAGCCTTCGGGCTGCTCCATGTAAACCGTCACGTCGATGCCTCCGTTCAGGAAGGCAGTGGTGACGTCCATCTGGTCTACCTCGTAGTCCCAAATGGCTGCCAGCGTGAGCAAGATGCGCAGAGTTTCCAATCGCACCACAGGCGAGTAAACTTCAAAGAAATCAATACCATAAATCTGCATGAAGCCCTTGATGACGAGCCTTGCCTTGAACCTGTCAATGTCTCCGTTTGCATGATACTTCACTCGAAATACCCAACGGTTGTTCAGGACCTTCATGTCCTTGGTTCTTTGCACCAGCTTCCAGGTGCCGTTCTTCAGCAAGGCCTCGTACTCGGCATCCATTGCATCTTTCCACTGATTGGCTTCATCACTTTACACAACTTCCTTATAGCTAGTCGGCTCAAACATAGCACTAGCAGTAAGACAAACAAAGTCTTGCCACACATCCATTGCCCTCTCTTTCGCAATCTCTAACTGCATTTGAGTCTTCCACTCTGCTCCTGTGGTCACTGTCAGCCCATGAGTGTCATCAGCATTGGTTGACTCTTTATAGGCCAGATGCACACTGTCACTAAGCCATCGCGGAGGTTTGGATACTCGCCCACTCCGTGTTACTGGATAAGGCTTGCTTTCTCCATCTTCCAGCACCTCTTGCTCCAGTGAACTTTGCTGTGTATGCGCTGCTATGCGTTCCACATCACCATCCACGTGAGACTTTGCCACTTGGGCCATGGCATCCTCCTCTTGTCCCTCAGGACCACGCTCCACTAGAGCTGCAGCCGGTGTCGGGCACCGGGCACTGCGATGAAACCTTACACGCTTTCGTGGTTTATCTGTCACCATCTCAACGATGCGACCACGCTTTCTGCTGCTCGAAGCAACATCACTCTTATTTTCATCACACGACTCAGCCCCACCAGTCTGAGACTTTTCTGTGTTTTCGTCGGTGGCCTCGCCATCACGACGTTTGTTCTCACAACGCTTTTTGGCTTCATTCTCTTCATGAATTTCATCTAGAATGGGCTCCAGATCCCGCACAGTGCTGTCGTTCAGACCAATATATTCCCCCGTGGACGCAGCACGTGTGACGGAATCTGCTGTGCCTGCCATCATCCTGCCTGGCTTCTCTTCATCTACGTTGACGACCTGATACTGTTTGCGCCGACAAAAGCCATGATGAAAGTCATGAAGCAAATGATTTTCAGACGCTTCGTGATGAAAGACTTGGGGCCGATTCATTACATTCTTGGCTGGGAGATTACACGCAACAGGCAAGAAAGAACGATGTTCATCAATCAAAAGAAATATACCAAGAAAGTATTGCAGCGATTTGACATGGCCAAGTGTAATGGATGCAGAGTTCCCAGTGATGTGAGTTTAAAGTTGTCAAAGTCAATGTGTCCTACAACTAATGACGAACGAGAGCTGATGAAGACCAAGCCATATCGAGCGGTCATTGGAAGTTTGATGTATCTATGCTGGGCACTCGGCCAGATTTTGCATTTATGGTTCGTGAGTGCAGTCAGTTCTTGGAGAACCCAGGCATTCTACACTGGCGTGCAGCGAATCGTGTACTGCGGTACCTGAAGGAGACAGTTGAATGGGGATTGTGCCTTGGTGGCGTGCAGGAAAGTCAAAAGTTGACGCATCACCTTCAGCCTTTGCCGATGCTGACTTTGCGAATCGTGTTGATAATCGCAAGTCAGTTGCAGGATATTTGACGCAGTTTTGTGGTAGTACGATATCGTGGTGCAGTCAGACGGACGGCACCGTGCCATTGCACACGACGGAGGCTGAATATATGGCACTAATTCTGCTAGTGCAGGAAGTTGTGCATCTGCGCCAGATGTTGAGAGAGTTAAAAGTGAAGCAAGTGAAACCCTCTGATGTGCTCGTGGACAACGAAAGCGCGAAGAAGCTCGCGAAAAACCCTGAGCTTCACGGTCGAACGAAACACATTGATGTTCATCATCACTTCGTGCGTGAGCGTAAAGAGTTGAAGCAAATCGATGTGAAGCGAGTACCCGGCGTTGAAAATGTGGCTGATGCTTTTACAAAGCCACTACCAAGGGCAAAATTTGAACAGCACCGCAGCGCTATGGGTTTGATTTCGAAAGAGACTTTCGAGTCCACGCGTGGCCGGCACAGCGATGACAACCAGTAGGTGGGGCTGTTGTGATGTACTGGTCCTCACGGTTGGTGCCGACCCGACTAAAAGGCTTTGTTGTTGAGGGTGTGTCACTGAGGCAGTTGGAAAAGGTGAGGAAAGTGTTGGGAAACCTTGTTGTTGAAATTGAGCTAGACGAAGAAAGAGAGAGAGAATGCTAGAGCTCACTTCGGAAAATACAAACAGCAGCACAAGCTGCCTTTCCCACCAACTTCGAGTGCTCTACGTTTCTTGCTGCAGGTGCAGACGCTTGCTTACCAGTTTACAAGTCTTAGTTACTGGTGGGCGTGCTCTGAAGTAGAACTCAAACTGCCGAGTTACTACGATTGAGTGGGAAAGAGATAACGCATCCTCTGCTATGTATACCTTGTCTATGCCAACTTGGTTCCGCGTCCTGTGCGGCCCAGTGCAGCATCCAATGCACCAGCCACTACTACACTAAAACAATAATTTATCAATAGGTAGGTACAACATTTAGTCGCTCAATTTGAGCGTCGACTCGACGTCCGAGACACCACGTCAAACATGCAAGCGCAATATTGCCAAAGAAAACACTATGCCAGCTTCCCTAGATGTATTTGCATCCATTTACTAGCAGAAGCTACTTCGAAGTAGTGGCGATTGTAGCAATTTTAAAACTAGCAAAAAAATTTAACTTGTAATCATCTTGCAAAGAGCCAGCAATAATTCGAATTATACCAATAATTTATCATTATTTAGCGAATATCACAAAACTATTCCGAAAACAATTTTTTTGGAAACGAGACCGCTTCCGCCAGTTCGACGCCTGTGCAGCACCTTGATATCCTCTGGGATACAGGAGGGATATACATTCTGATACAGATACACTGTGATACACGTGCTACCATGTTGGCGCCCAAAATGACACCTCGGAGACTTTGAGCCAGAATAAGAGCAACCGACAGGTCTTCCTTGAAAAGCATCTGAGGCTATCTACATAATCTCAGGGCCTCCTAAAGTAACATTACTTCCTCCCGTGCCAAATAAATGCATCAAATGACTCTTTCCTACATAAATCAATCACTATAGGCTCAAAGGAAGATCTGATTGGTTTAAATCGTGCGTCTAACTCTCCTCTACAAAATGCTATATTTTTATCGTTGGTGGAAAAGAATTGGCGTCATGGCAATCCAAACCCGACATCAGTGTTTGCCAGTCATTTCTAATTTACCCGCCACGCAAAACAAGCTACAACTGAACCTCTACAACGAACGCCATGTCCAACCTCTCTGAAGGAGCTCGCAGGGCTATCATTCTGCGCCTTCATGACGAACGTGTAAACAAAGTTCTACCCCGTGGGGCCCAAACTCAAGTAGCAAACGATTTTGGCGTTGATCCATCTACTGTAAGCTACCTGTGGGGGCGCCATCTAGAGGTGCTTGCTGACGACGTGTTAGATGACGACTGGGGCAATAGAATGCCAGGAAATGTTGGGAGAAAGCCTAGAGATCGCTCGGAGCTCGTTGAGTTGATTCGTGCTGTACCGGTGGAAGAACGGCAGACGGAACCAAGTTTGGAGGCAGCTACGGGGATATCACGCCGGCTGCTGTCGTCACTGAAGAGTAATGGCGTTCTACAGCGTCACACATCGCGGATTAAGCCGACGCTGACACCGCAAAACAAGATGCATCGGATGCAGTTTGCTCTCTCTCGTGTCAACGATGACACGATGGAGTTCGACCCTCTCATGGACGTGGTTCACGTAGATGAGAAATGGTTCAACGAGGACAAGGATCGTCGCTCATATCTTCTTCTCGACGGTGAGACGGTTCCGGTACGGCATCGGAAGAGCAAGAGATTTATCCAGAAGACAATGTTTTTGGCTGCAGTCGCAAGACCTAGGTAAACCTATGTAATCATATAAATTGGCAAATCGGTTTGGTTGTAATGAATATGTTTCCAAATTGATACTTTAGGTACGACGCGTATAGAAAGACTATGTTCAACGGAAAAATCGGGCTCTGCAAACACTACATCATCCACAATGTAATACCATCCATTAGGCTAAATGGCCACGGAATCACAAGAATCGCCCAATCTACATACCGCAAGACAACGCGAAACCTCACGTGTCTCCACGCGACCCCGATGTGATGAACGACGGCCAGTCTGATGGCTGGAACATCGTTGTGATGTTCCAACCCCCAAACTCGCCCGACCTTAACGTCTTGGATCTGGGATTTTTTTGCTTCTATCCAGTCCATCCAGTACAAGAAGATCATTAGTGGGATTGAGAATTTAATTCTTGCGATTAAGGACACCTTTGATAGCGTAGATATCGAGACTATTGACAACATTTTCGTCACATTAGCCAAGGTAATGGAGTGCATTCTCAAAGAAAAGGCGACAACGCTTACAAGCTTCCTCACATGGGCAAGGCGAAGCTAAGGAAAACAGGTTCTGCGTTGACGGTCAGGTGCGATCGCGTGGTGTATAGAGAAGCTGTACATGTCCTCACTGCTGCTGGTCGTCCTCCTCTATAACCTGCTTTAGTCGATATTTCCATTTTCATTTTAGATTGGAAGGGTTTATTTATGGACATGGGTTCATCTATTTTTTT